CCCCAACTGTCCTCCTAGCTGAAGGCACCATGTTACCACATGTGACATTACATTTTGGCAGAGAAATGCTTCTCATAATCATCCCCTATGTTCTTACCACAGTTATAGTCTCTACCCTCTTCCTTAGTGAACATTATCCTAGGTTAGACAAAGTAGAAGGTTCTTAAAATAACAATCTGTCATACAATAATGCCTCATCTTTCTCCTTCTGAGTGGCTAATGGGATAAAACCAACCTTGTAGTAAACATCCAAGTGCTTAACCCATTGCACCACCAGGACTCCATAACCATTTTGTTGTTGTTAAGTACCATCGAGTCAGTTCCAACTCATACGACTATGTATAGGGTTTCCCTACAGCAGCTAATGGGTTTGAACTACTGACCTTGTGCTTTGTATTCCAGTGCTGATCCTACAGCACTACACCAAAAGTCCTTAATAACTGTAGAATTCATAAAACAAGAATTATACGTCCATAGACAGCCAGAGACTTGTTCTATCATGCTACCTGTGTTTTATATTTGCATATATACTTACACTCTATTATTCAATTTGTATGCTGAGCAGATAATCTGAGAAGTTGGATTATAAGAAGAATGTGGCATTAGGATTGGAGGAAGACTCATTAATAACCTGTGAAATGTAGATGATACAACCTTGCTTGCTGAAAGTGAAGAGGACTTAAAACACATATTGATGAAGATCAAAGAGCACAGTCTTTAGTATAGATTGTACCTCAATGTAAAGGATCAATCAATAACACAGTGATAAGTGGAGAAAAGATTGAAGTTGTCAAAGATTTCATTTTGCTTGGCTCTACAATCAACACTCATGAAAGCAGTCAAGATGTCAGGCGACATACTGCATTAAGCAAATTTGCCACATAAGACTTCTTTGAAATGTTCAAAGTTTGAAGACTAAGATGTGCTGACTCAAGCCATGATATTTTCAATAGTTTCATATTCATGCGAAAGTTGGACAATGTATAATGAAGATCATAGAAGAACTGATGCAGTTGAGTCATGGTGTTGGAGAAGAATATTCAAAGAACCACGCACCGTCAAAAGACAAACAAATCTATGTTGGAAGGAGTACAGTTAGAAAGCTCCTTAGAAGCCAGGATGGCCAGACTTCACCTCTCATATTTCAGATATATTATCAGGAGTGACCAGTCCATGGAGAGGGGCATTATGCTTAGTAAAGTGGAGGGTCACCAAAACAGAGGAAGATACCCAACAAGATGGATTGGCTCCATGGCAGCAGCAATGGGCTCAACTGTAACAATTGTGAGGATTTGACATGACTGGGCAGTGTTTTGTTTGTTGTTCATAGAGTTGCTGAGAGTCAGAGCCAACTGGACAGCATCTAACAACAAATTCCTGCTTATAATATTGAACTAACTATTGTTACCTCTACAAGGAAGCTTCAAAAAGTTTATGGAAATTTTCCATTGTTTTTTCCTTGAATTTTTTAAGCCTCCTCATATTTGGCAAATATGACCCATAGGTTCAGAGAGGTTAAATAATTTATCCTACACCACGCCTTGAAATCCTCAGTTTCTATCCCAAATTCTATCAACCCAACGAAGACTGCCTCCCACCAAAACTGTAAAGGGTATATATTTTGAGGTATAGCCTTTGGCTTCCTTTAAACATTGTTAAGAGACCTAGTGATGCAATGGTTCAGAGTTCTGAAAGGTTGAAGGTTTGAACCCAGCCAGCGACTCTGCAGGAGAAAGACCACTTCAGTAAAGATTGTTGTTGTTTTTGTTAAGTGCCATTGAGTCAGTTCCAACTTGTAGCAATCCTACATAGGATTTGAAGAGTGGCTGGTGAACTTGAACCACTGATCTTGTGGTTCAAATGACCTTGCAGCCCAGTGCTTATCCTACAGCACCACACCTAGGGAATTGTACTGGTTAGTTCTACTGCCCCATATGGGGTTACTATGGGTCAGAATCTACTGGAAGAAACCTAACAACTATTAGAATTCAAATTCTATTTCTATATCTGATCCATTCCTAACAGTGTATCCTTTCACTTGTATCTTCTCTATGTACAAAACTAGAACCAAGTGTTTAATAAGCACTTGGCTGCTTATCAAAAGGCCTGCGGTTTGAACACAACAGCTATTCCTTGAAGAAAGATGTAGCATATATAGACATATGTGTCTATATAGGTAATAGCTTTGGAAGCCCTATGGGCAGTTCTACCCTGTCCTATAGGGTCACTATTAGTAAAGGTTTTTTTTTGTGTGTTTTTTAGGTGGGTTTTTATGCACACATCTAAAGGTGGCAGGATCTGCCCAGAAAACTATTTCTGTCAAAGAACTATTCCAGTCTCTTCTGACTCATGGTGACATCATGTATGTCAGAGTAGAACTGTACTTCTAGGGTTTTCAACATCTGGATGGCTCCGAAGTTAAATGCTCAACTACTAGCCAAAAGGTTATCAGTTGGAAACCACTCAGAGGGACCTCAGAAGACAGACCTGTTGATCTGATTCTCAAAGGTCTTGGAAAACCTATGGAGCAGTTCTACTCCACATATGGGTCACCATGAATCAATAAATATGATGGCTACTAACAACAACCTTATAGAAGTAGACTGCCAAGTCTTGCTTCTGTGGCGGGCACTGCTGGGTGAATTTGAATCAACAACTATTAAACTGGTGGTTGAGCCACCCAGAAAATCTTTAGTGATAAGTACCACTTTCAATTTGCATTCCTGCCCAACTACACTCAGAATAGTAAATATAAAGCTTTCTATTTTCTTAATAATATAAAACTATCTCTTCTGTGAAAATTAGCACAAATTAAAGTCTTTCATTTCAAACTTGACTTTTCTGGATAAGTACAAATGGAATATTTCCTCAGGTAATCAGAATAAAGAGCCTTGAAGGTCACCTTGCCCAAACTCAGTCTCTGAGTAGGAAGCCTACCTCACTTAGGAAAGCTCAATAATCCTAGAAGTTAGGTCCATAGATGACCCTATTCTTGTCTTCCAAAGTTACTTAAATAATTCTTTCTCCATTTATCCTTCCTTTCATTGTTTTCTTAGAAGGTGACAGACAGATTACTAGATCAGAAATCACTTGGGTATTTAATTAATAGCAGAGCTCAAGGTGTCAACATTTACCCGATTCATTATCCAGGAGTGAAGCATTAGCTTTTTAAGCATCACTTCATCGAGTAGGTTCATCCTGTATCAATTAAATACTCCAAGTCTTTTTCACCAAATAATGGTTTTGAGCTCATTCTTCCTCATCTAGTACTTCAAAAACAAGTTTGTTTGTTTTTTAACTTTAGTGGCTGATACAAATGCTAAGACAGAGACTTGTGTTCAACACCTGAAATTCCTCCTCCAGGTTCTCTATACAATTCTGTGTACAATTGCTCAATCAGCTAAGAATATACATAACTAAATTGTCATCCATTCTACATTTCCCTCTCTTGTACCTAAGAGAGGGAGTTTGAATTTTGTGAAAATTTTGAGATTACGACATCTATAGAATTCTCCAATATAGGTCTGAACACATACTTGCTGCAATTAAAAAAAAAAAACAAAATACTATTTTGATGCTTCAAATTCCTTATTTGATTTTGAACTTTTAAATATCCAAGTTTTAAAGTGCTTGTGGAGTCCTGGTGTGGCACTGCAGGATAATGCGATGGACTCCCAGGTCAGTTAGAGCCGCAAGATCAGCAGTTCAAAACCACCACCAGTCACTCCTCAGAAAGTAGCACTTAACAAAAAGTTCTTGTAGATGTGTATCAGTAGTCTTTGCAGTAAGAAAAAAAATCACCCTAAAATGTTTCACTAAGGAGGTTTCAGGGTATAGTACACGAATAAATGCATACCACTTCCTGCTATAATAAAATGAATGACTTCTTTATCGGAAATTAAAGGTGGGGCATTTTGCTAAACATCTGCCAATATCATTACCTGTATAATTTAGATCTCACAGGTAGAAACACTTTTGAAAAAAGAGAAACCTAGGAATCTTCATCCAGAAACAAAATTCAGATCTGAGTGATGCAAATAGGGTGGAGTATTGCTTTAAAACCCCCTAAAACAAAAAAATTCTACATTCTTTCATCAGAACTTATCAACCCATGAATATTGTTGATATTGTTTATTAGCATGGTAGAAGAGGTTAAGACTAGCCTTCTTCTAGTTAGCTCAAGAGAAAGTGAAATACTGGCTCTCCAAGTGTGCTCCAGCAGTCCAGTGATATTTGCAGATCTCACCTGGGCCTTTCAGTTACAAATCCACCTCCTTAAGGAGTCGTGTGAAATAGCAAGAACAATCAATAAGAAAAAAATCCTCCCGGCTATAAATCAGCCACGTGGAGCTGCTGCGGCAGCGGTAGCCCTGACTTCCTGGTTGGCTTCCTGCAAACCTCACAGTGGGGGACTCAGGGCAGTGGGTGTAAGGAAAGGAGGTGCAGCCAAGAGCTGTTCCAAGTCGGCCAGAGGGGGCGGCAGGTCAAAGGATCCTGGAGGACACAAGCGATTAGGGACAGAGTTATGGTGCATAATTACAATAAAAGTTTCTGAATTTAGCAGCTTTAAGGAGCTGAGCTGTGGGGCAAAAGCTAAGGACCAGACAGACCTGGGGCAAGTGTAAGTTAGTTACAAGGTAACAGTGAACACTGGGAATTGCGAGGGGGTTCCTATGGACAGTGGTGAAACACGTAGAAGGGGACTGCGGATCTGAAAAGAGAGCAGACAAGGGAGAAAGGAACCTTGGAAGACTAAGGCGCCGGGGTCCGTCGGCGCTCTGCGGAGGCCGCCAAGGGGAGGGGGCCGCGCGGCGGAGAGCGGTCCGAGCCGGCGGGCCGTAGGGAGGGGGCGGAGGGAAGAGCCTGGGGGAAGGTAGAGCCGAGGGGAGTTCCGGATCTGGAGCTGGAAAGGGCAGGCAGCGGAGAGGGCGGCAGCCGAAGCGGTAGGGGTGGGGGAAGGAGGAGGAGGAGGAGAGCCGGAGGAGGGGGAAGGAGGGAGGAGAGAGCTGTGGCGGCGGCTGCGCCGGGGTGTGTGTCTCTCGTCGCCGGAGGAAGATGAGGCTGAAGATTGGGTTCATCTTACGCAGTTTACTGGTGCTGGCAAGCTTCCTGGGGCTAGTGGTCCTGTGGTCTTCCCTCTCCCCGCGGCCGGACGACCCGAGCCCGCTGAGCAAGATGAGGGTGAGTGACCCGCCCGGCCCCCTCCGGCGGCAGCAACCTGCAACTTGTTTTGTTTGCGCGCGCGTGTGGCGGGAGCTGGGGGCTGCGGGGTCGGGGAGCAACGTAGGCGCCGCAGCTCCGCAGGTGGTGCTGGCGCAGCGCGGGCCGATCCGGGGCGCGTTGCCCCACGCACCGGGTCTCTCCTTGCCACTGCCGGCCCGCCCCCTCACCGCCCCTTCCTCCCGCGCTTCCCCGCCCCGGGCTCCGCCGCCAACATCTGCGCTGTGGCGGCGGCTGCTTAGGCGCCCGCTCTTCGTACCCCGACTGCGGGAGAAGGGCCGGGTCCTGAGGACCGCAGACGTTGAGCGCCTGCCTTTTTTCGAGCCGGGACCACCGCGGCCGCGATCGGGGGACGCAGAGTTGGTCCAGGCTGCGGCCTGTGGCGTGTGCAGGCCCGAAGGAGACGAGATGCCGCCGGTCCGGTGGACCAGGCCCCTCGGTCCAGCCTTTCATCCCGTCACCGCTCGCTCGGGGGTGCTCGCAGCCCCAGGCTCCCCCAGCTCCGCCCGCCCGCCGGGGAGTGGGAGGGCGACGACGCCCCGCCTCCGGCTCTTACGGAGAGCGCCTGCCCACCCTTACCCCCCCAACTCCGGTGTTTGGGAGACAGGGTGGGATGCGCAGCAGCGGCCTCGTCCTGGACGGCCCTTCCTCTTGCTGCCAAGTACGAGGGGAGAGGCGGTTGACCCGGGAGGGGAGGGAGACCCCCTCCCCTCGCCCTGCTAGTTTCACCGCGCCGGGGAAACCCCTTCTCCCGGGGGCGGTGCATCTGGGCCCCAACCTCCCGTTCCGGGCTGGCGCTGCTCTGGGGTCTTGAAGCCAGTTCCTCTTCCCCGACTGCCGCAGGGCGGCTTGGGCCGGAAAACTAACTTGCACCGGCGCCCCGCCGCCCCGCTCTAGATGCCTACTCGTTCAGCGCCAGGGCACCACTGCGCGGAGCTCCCAGTGGCTCCACTGGGACACATTTGTCTGCCGCCCAAGCCGCGAGTGTTAGCTTTGACACTCGCGCCTTTGAGGGTTTAGTCAAGCGTCTCTGAACCTTAGTTACTGCGAGCCGCATCGGCTGCGCTATCCCGGCAGTTAGGCGGCGTGACCTCGGCCACCGCATCGCCGGGATCGATCTGGCCTCGCCCCCATCCGTTGCCCACCCGAGAGCCTGGGGTGCACCCCTGGGTAGCTGCCCGTTGGGGAAGAAAGAGTGTGATAAATTAAGGGTCACCGACAGGTTGTGGGGAGGAGTCGTGCTCTCTGCCAATAATATCTGCATTGCATCTAAGTAATCTTTTCAAACTTTTCTTCCGGAAAGTTAGCATCAGGAAGTTGGGTGACAACGCATGTGGCATTCTTTCAAGAATCAGGATCCTATGAAGAGATCCCTTTATCCGTTGTTGCCTTCATATCTCAGCTTAGACTGTCTCTTGAGTTTTAGTATTTGAAATCTACACAGCGATGGAATTCCTTTGTAATATTTGGGGTGTATGTCACATTTAAGCCATTAAGTCAGCAATAAAAAATACCACATTTTCCCATTCAAAACTTGTGGATTTAAGTTTTTGAGCTTTCATGGAGTGGTGGTGAACTGTTGTATCATTTGCTTTCACAATGATTTATTGACAAAGGGTGACTTCATTGCAATTGTTCGACAATATTTGTTTTAAATCATCAAATGCTTCTTACACAGAGTCAGAAATGTTAGACCCTTATTTTCTGGGAAAGAAACTGAGGAAAAACTGGCAAAACTAACCACATTATTCAGAATGCCCTTCAGATGGAGAGTCATTGAGGAAGTGGTGGCACATCAGCACCAGTGCCCATATATAGCAGTGTAAGGTATTTTCTTGATTTTTGGTCCACCTTAAATAAAACTTGTCATTTGATCCAGTGTCATTTCTGTCATTAACAAAGACAAAAGCTAGCTTTTTAACACTTTCAAGCATAATTAACATTAAAAAGGATGCCTATGAAACAAGTGAGCCAAATCCTTGTGTTAACTTAGCGGGCTGATAGTAATTTAAGCAATTCAAGGTATACTAGTAAATAGGAAAACAACAATATTAAATAGGAACATAATCATAAAAGCATAAAAAAGTGACTTTGCCTCCCTTTAATTAAACTAACCTGACTTGGTGTGCTGTGGGATAAAACACTGGACCACAAAGTCGGTTTGAACGACAAGCTAGGTGGTTCAAACTCACCAGCCGCTCGCTCTTTGGAAACCCTATGTTGGTGATGGTAGTGTGGAAAATAGCTTTATTGTTCTATCCATCTCTTAGTTATCTTTTTTTTTTTCCCTTGACTTATTCAGCAAATATTTATTAAATATATATTAAAAATATTTGTTTAAGTCAATGAAAAAATTAGATAACTAAGAGGTGGTTGGAATAGTAAGGTTCTGGAGTCCTGGTGTGGGGTTGTGGGTTAATGTGCTGGACTGTAAGGTCAGTTTGAACTGCAAGGTTGGTGGTACAAGCTGACCAGCCACTCCTTGGAAACCCTATACTGGATCTCTGTAAGTTAGAACCGACTCAATGGCACAACACAACAACCATGGTTCTAGTAGCAGAAACAATACTTGCACTACCCTCATAGATCTTGGAGTCTAGTGAGACGCACATTAATCAAGGCTCCAAAAATACATTAAAGTCAGGATATGAAGGAAAACCATGAGGAGCAAGGAAATGGAGGAGATGGGTCGTAAGAGTTATACTTGAGTCTTTTAAGTTGAAATCTGAAGACTTGAAGAAGTTGTTGATACGGAGGGAAGTTATGTCTGAGAGGGAGCTGCATGTGTAAAGGCCCTGTGACAGGAGGTAGCATGGTGAACTGAGGGATTAGAAGAAGGACCAAAGTAATTGCAGTTTGGAGAATGAGGGGAAAGGTAGAGATGAGGATGCAAAATAAAGTGTGAGTATTATAGACCATGCTAAGGATTAGGTTTTAGAGCTATGGGAAGTCATTGAAGAATTGAAAGCTGAGGAGAAACTGGTGTTTTGAAAAGATTATTCTGGCTACATAAAATCCAAATTGGTCTAGAGCAAAAGCAGATAATAGGAATCTTGTCAAAGATTATTGTAATAGTTCAGGTGAGAAAAGACATTGCTTGGATGCCTCTGAAGTACAGGCGGTGGAAATGGAGAGGAATTAAACCCATTCAAAGATATAAAAGATGCAAAGGCATTAGTTTAGCTAGCAATTGATTGGGGAGTGAAGGAAAAGAAGGTGTCACATTATTGAAAGTTCCAAACACAATATTTATACATCCTTATGTTGTACTTTATGAAAAGACTCATTATTTTTGTCTTTGTCCTCTAGATTATTTTCAGGTTAATAATTACTAAGCCCATCTGTTAGGTACTTGCAGAGTACAAAAAGTTCCCTTAATTATTTCCCAGATTGACATCACTTATTCCAGGTTTTTGCCCTGAATATTTAAGGTTGAATCATAAACCTCTAAAAATAAAGGTTTGAAATGCAAATGTTGACAGACTTTCAGCTTATCTAACAAATTCAGTATTGGTGAGAAGCTCCTTGTAAAACTGAATTGATGATTTCCTATATATGCAAATGCTACTTTAGTCAAGTCCCTTATGCCACTTAGGTTCAAGACATTCCTAGGCAGAGAAGTTTTATATCACAAACAAGTGATTATAAGACAGTTTTAGGAGGAATATCACTTAAACGAAGACTGTGAATTGATTACTCAGCCTTCCTGAAACGGTTTTATCTTAGTGATGAATTCTTGTAACCTGAAAACTATTGTTCTTGATTGTGCCTTTTTATTTCAAATGGAAGCTCCATTTAGACTTTTAGGGATTGAGCAAAAGTACTCTCAAATAGTCAGTGTTCTTCCTGTTCCTCAGACTTCGTGCCTTGGGATTGGTTTAGGTTTTATTTTGCTGTTGCCTTTTCTCCATATCCTTCCCCCATACTAACAATAAAAATATGTTTTTTAAATCCCACATTAATAATGCTAAGAAGTCTGGGATTCATAGACTTGAAATTAATGTATGTTTTGTGTTCATATACATTTTTTTGGTTGCTGTAAACAAGCTTTTGCAGTTCTTAAAGGTGCTTGTAAATCAAAGAAGGCTGTGAACCACTGACTAGCTACAGCCTATGAGACCTTTGGACTCAGGATTCACTGAGTCTCTCTCTTTCCACTCATGGTGCTGAGATTGTTGTTGCTGTTATAATGTGCCGTGGAGTCGGTTCCTACTCATAGCAACCCTGTACAGGGTTTCCGAGGCTGTAAATCTTTACGGGAGCAGAAAGCCTCATCTTTCTCCCGTGGGACAGCTGGTAGTTTGTTTGTTTTTAAATTCTGTCCCTTTATTTAGCTGAGCCTCCCCCGCTAAAGAAGGGAGAGGTCAGCATCAGAGGGCTGCCTAAAGATCCCCAGGTGCTATGGTCCTGGGTTATTTTTTCCTCTCTCAATTTTATTTTATTGTTGAAAATACAGCAAAACATATACCAATATAACAGTCCTGGTGTGGTGTTGTAGGTTAATGCTCCAGACTGCAAAGCCATTTAAACTGCAAGGTCAGCAGTTCAAGCTCACCAGCTGCTCCTTGGAAACCCTATACAGGATCACTGTGTATACAGAATTGACTTGACAGCACTGAACAACAACAACAACACATACAAGTCAATGACATTGATGCCAGTCTTTGCATTGTGCAACCATACTCATCCTCCTTTTCTGAGCTTTCCTCCCTCCTTAACATAAGCTCACTGCCCTTAAGGTTCTTATCTAATCTTTACAGTTGCTGTTGTCTATGTAATTGCATATGTTGTTGTTAAGTGAGTGTGTTTAGACTCACAGCAACCTTATGCACAACAGAAAGAAACACTGCCCAACCCCGCACCATCCTCATAATCATTGTTAAGCTGGAGGCCATTATTGCTGCTGCCACTTTACCAATCCATCTTGATAGGGGTCTTCCTCTTTTTCACTGACCCTCCAC